TTTCCAGCAGGAGGAAGCTTCTGGTTGGTCGATGCTTTGCTAGGAGAGGTGGCTCCCTTGGGAAGCTTGTTCATCCTGTGGTATTCGTGGTCAGAGGAGGGACAGAAGGTCCTGGTCTTGCAGTGACTCTGCTGCTCCTTTGCAGGGTCGCTGCAGTGGCTGCAGGACATCCCACCGTCCCTGGGGATCAAGGAAGGAATACAAGAACCCAGAGCCAGGTCAGCCAGCAAGTTCAGGGCGTGGGATTCGTAGCTGTTCCCCTTCACGTGGAATCCAAGGTCAGCAACCTCGCCTGGGCACACCTCACAGGTCTGGGGATCTGCTCCCTGGTGCTGGGAAGGAACTTCACTCGGGAGGGTGGGGAATGGCTCCTTCCACTCTGTGTGGAGAAAGGAAACAAACAAAAAGGATAAAGTCAGAGAATTGTGCTGGTTTAGCTTGTGGGGAAGGCTTGGCAGAGGGGGAGGGGCCCTGTAAGAAGCTGTAGAAAGCTCCTCCAGCTCCAAAGTCTGTGCAGCCACACCTCAAGAGCCATTAGAGAAGACAAGGGATGTGCCTCTGCCAATTAACATATGAAGGGACTGATGTAAGACCTGAAGCAGAGGGGGAGGGGAAGAGCAGAGAGACACCGAAGAAGTCGGTGAAGAAGGAGAAGGTGGAGGTGCCCGAGCAGAAGTTTCCCTGCAGCCCGTGGTGAGAAGGGAAACTCATGCAGGGTGGTGCATCCCCTGAAGGAGCACAGGTGGGGCAGACGTGGACATGAAGCCATGGACTTGGACCTGCAGCCATGGAGGACCCCGGGTCAGGAGAGGTGACTGTCCCTGAAACAGCCCATGACTCTGGGAAGCCCAGGCTGGAGCAGCTCCTGAGGGAATTGCACCTGGTGGGAAAGACTCAGGAAGGACTCTCTGCCATGGGAGGGACCCCATGGGGAAGCAGGGCAGGACTGTAAGGAATCCTTCTTCCTGAGGAGGAAGGAGCTGCAGGAACCACCAGCCTGTGAACTGACTCTAAACCCCATCCCCCTGTGCCCTGGGGGGAAAGAGAGAAACCATGAACAAAGGGATTTGGGCCCGGGAAGAAGTGAGGGGTGAGATCAAGCACTTTAATCTCTGCTTTTTGTCTTGCCTTTGTCCCGTGTGCATCTGGTTAGTGACAAATGAAATGGATATTTTTTCCCCAAGTTGAGTCTGTTTTGCCCTTGACTGTAACTGACCCTCCTCGTTTTTTTCTCTTGACCCACCAGCCTCTCATTGGCTTTTGTCCTCCTCAGCCCAAAGCTGGAGAAGTGTGGGGATGTGAGTGAGAGGCCAACTGGCTGGTTCTGTGTTGTTGGTTAGGCCCAAACTATGACCAGAAAAAAAAATGAAGGCCACACAACTTGACCTGAGAAGGGGGGGTTCAAGGCAGGCTGCCAGTTTGGCAGGAAAAAGGTGTTTCTCCAACATGGAATTCACACATTTAAAAATCAACCAACCCAACACTTCGTGCTCCAAAGCCACCTCCACAGCTGCTACAAAAGGCTCTAGAGTTGGGATTGAAGTGACTTCAGGAATGGGATTTATTCTCAGCAATAAAAGGATCCAGACTGAACAAAATCACCTTTGGCCTCTGTGCCCAGAGCAGTTTGGCCACACAGATTCAAGCTGAGATATTTTAGGTGTTTCCTTAACCCTTTTGATTTCACTTTAATTTTTCTTCTAGATTGAGTTATTTGCAGTTTTCTCAGGCAACCCCTGCACTGTGCTTTCAATCATCCACAGTTACAAGAAAAGAAACCCCTTGTAAAACGCAGAGAAAAGCCACCCTGCCCTCCTGCTTCCCCCTGCACATCCTCTCAAGAGCAAAACCTGCCCTTGAGCTGGAACTTGGGGCCCACCTGGGGGCTCCTAAAGGCAGCCAGAGCACAATAAATAACAGTTCATTTAGCTTTCAGCATTAAAAATGCCCCTCACCGTGGCCCATGTTCATAAAACCAGTATGATGTCATTAAACATTAGCTAAAAAAACAGCACCCAAATTCAAGTAAAACCTTATTAAATCCCATCTGTGCTGAAGTCTTTACAGGTTACATTTAGTTTCTTGGAGCACTGTGTCGTGAGAGGTATAAATTGAGTATTTCTTAATGCTAAACACTCTTTATTTTGTATTTTTGGCAGCTCCTGATATT